TACCTAGTACCACGACCCCTTCTACACCCAGCCTGGAAACTGAGGAGGACTTGAAGCACTTGCTGCAGAGGGTCAAGGACTGCAGTGTCCAATATTCATTGAGGCTAAATGTCAAGAAGACAAAGATTCTCACTGCTGGACCAATTGGAAGCATCATAATGGATGGTGAAAAGATTGGGTTTGTTCACAGCTTTAGTTTGCTTGGCTCCACAGTCAGCATTCTTGGCACCAGTAGGTAGGAAATTAAAAGACGTGTTGCAATGGGAAAATCTGCTGTTAGGGACTTCTCCAAAGTCTCTATGGAGAGTAAGGTGCGTCTGATACAAGCCATGGTCTTTGCTATCACTTGTTATGCATTAGAGAGTTGGACAATGATCAAGGGGAATAGAAGGAGAATTGATGCCTTTCAGCTGTGGTGCTGAAGAAGAGTATTGAGAATACCATGGACTGCTAGGAAAACAAACAGATTCATCCTGGATAGGGTTAAACTGAGAGGCTCCTTGGAGGCAAGGATTCTAAGGCTTCATCTGACATACTTTGGACATGTTGTAAGGAGGGACTGGTCCTTGGAGAAGGAAATGATGCTTGGGAGGGTGGAGGGACAGCACAGGTGGTGAAGGCCCTCTATGAGGTGGATTGATTCAGTGACCGGGGTAATTGAGATAGGAATGTCAGAAACAGTGCAATTGGCATAGGACATAGCAGAGATTAGGGCTGTTGTACATAGGGTCGCTTTGAGTCGCAAGGGACTCGATGGCAGATAACAACAACGACAACAACTTCGGTTACGTACCGAGGCTCTTTCCAACTCTTCGATTATGTTGATGGTGGTGTTGACCCAGAAGCCAGATGTGGTGGACGTCACTTGAAGGATGTTGTCCAGGATGTTTGCGTTCACACGCACACCTCCTATCCACCACTGCACGGACAGTGTGGGGATCCCATGGAGGGAACAGATGAACTTCGGTGTCCTCTCCAAGCAACAAGGGAAGTTGAGAAGTCTGGGGAGAGCTGTGGGGAAGGAGGATCCGGAGTCAGCAAGACACTCTGATTTCCCTTCCTCATTTCATCTAGAACTCAGTCTTCTGCTTACTTACGCTCACAGGCTGCTTCAGAAGGGCTTCCCGGAAGCCCAGAGATGCTGAATCCTTCATAGTAGTTCCCCTTATCCTCCGTCACTCATATGCCTCATATAGGGGCTCAGGTCTTCCCTCTGACCTTCAGTCTCAGAAGCCCTGGGGAAAATCTGCTTTCTTGTCAAATTTCTTCCTTTTAAGATTTCCTCTTTATTTTAGGTCCACCGTTTCTCCCACACTTGACACCCGGCTCACCAGAACTCACAAGACACTTGGGGAAAAGGCTACGCTACTTCTGGTCAAGTTGTCTGAGGACAAGTTCAAGGGGCATCCGAGGGTGGTGTCAAGGTCTTCAGCATTTGGGAAGAGAAGTTCGTGGAAGTGGCTGTGACGCGCTGGGTCCTTTCCAGGTTAGGAGAAGGCCTTTGTTTTCTTCGTAGGTGCCTTGGATGGTACAAGTCAGAGTTACAGGCTCACCAACCGTAAGAATCTCTGGGATTGGTGGCCTAGTGGCAAGGACCTGTAACTACAATCCCAGAGGCGCACGGTTTGAATCCACCAGATGCTCTGCTGGGGAAGGAGGAAAAATTTCCTCCTGTACCAGTCAGATCTGATTTGACTGTACACTCACACAAAAATAATAATAATAATAAAAATCTCTGGAATGTGGAGATCTGGCGCAGGGTTTACCTGAAGAAGAGACAGTGGGTGGACTCAAAGCTTGAAAAGGGCCCCTCAAGGGCAGTTCCCTGTAATTTCAATGTGACAGAGTTCTCTCCCTCTCACTGGCTTTTTTGAACACCCACAACCTTATGGAATATGAAATCATTATTGAGTGGCTTTCCACAAATAGACTTCCTTTCTTTGCATGCAAGAGTGAATATGGGTGAGTTTTCTGAGGATCTACACTGCCTCCAATCTGTTACTTGCCCTCCCTCCAGTTAGACTTTCCAGCCTCTGTTATTACTTCACCACCCTCCTTCCTATCTCCTATTCTCCCCTTAAGCTCTGCCCATTCTCAGCACTACATGTGGTCTATTTCCTCCTCTGTAGTTTCTTGATCCACTGCTGCTAGGGAAGTCATGGCTTCTCTCTTTGCAGTTTTTAAGTGGTTATTGTTTTTTAAATTTTATTATTTTTTATTATTATGATTGAGATTGTTCACAGCTTCAGTTTGCTCGGCTCCACAGTCAACACTCTTGGCACCAGCAGTCAGGAAATCAAAAAGCGTATCACAATGGGAAAGTCTGCTGTTAGGGA